GGGATATATGAAACTGAAAAATCAAAATATTATGGCCTATCCATACAATCTAACATAGTATAAGGAATAAGAAGTATGCTCATGATAAGACTGTGCATATTTTAAGGAATTTATGAAGAAATTCCATATAATTTAATTCCATAGATAATATATATATAATATGTCTTAAACCTAGACTGACATACCGTCTTCGCTCAGAATCGTTTTTCTTATACAATGATATTGTATCATTGAATTCAAATTTAATAGCATCCATTATACAGTGACCCACTTGTAACCTACTGTACAGCAGAGCGACATCCACTTACCCACCTTTTTTTTTTTGAAGTAAGACCATGACCATTTAAGGGAGTCTTCTATAAAAATGTCTAATGTTAGGTATGAAAGGAATAACTTTTATGAATTGAAATTAACTGAAAAATAGTTTGAAAGTGTTCGAAATGTTTATGAATGTTGTAAATTTTTAGTTTTTATTGAGAATAATAGAAAAACAATTTACAAAATTCGAAAAATTTCGAAAATTTTACCATTTATATTAAATGCTTATATAAATATTTGGTGAAAATTTCAAGGGTGTACAGTTATTGGATATTGAGTTACACCAAAAAAATTAAATCGATATTTTCAAAAATTGGTTTTGCGTAATAATATTATTTCTTCTTTTAAAACTTTCTTAAATTACTTGGAATTTTTACCTCCCAGAAGAACAAACTAGATTTACTTTTCTATTCGAAAATATGCTAATCTTGAAAACCTGAACATTTTTAGTACCAAAAATGTTGCTAACAGATAAAAAAAAAGAAATTGTAAAACCAATAGGTTATATTTCACTCCGCTCAGGTCTCAGAATCTTTTTTTTTTTATTTATTTTTAAAAGGAATCTACAATCTATACCACTTGGCACAATAAGTAAATGTGAAAACAGATTTTATATATAAATTATTAAAAAAAAAAAATAAAAACATATTGTATACTTAATAACATTTATATATATATAGTGTGACAATTTTGAGGAAAGCACCCATTAGTAACACTTTCATTGGGTCTCAGAATCTAAAAAATAAAAGAGTACCTACTTGCAGGGTAAGCTTGATATAATAAAACATTAAATATTTGATAAAGCATAACAAATAACCATTGTATACCTAAATATATTTGCCAGTTCTGAATTTTGTTTTATTTATAGGTGGTCAAATCTTATAGCTCAACTGACAAGGAACAAATGTCCCATATGATATTCATTATGAAGACAACAGTATATACGATATACCACTCATATTAATTGAGAATATTATTCTTCTTGAATAATTTTAAAATTTGTTATTTATATCCTTTTTTATGTTTCAAATTCAATCATTATAATTCATCCTGATTATAATTAAATATTATCATATTTTACTGAATTATATTATTAGCATAAACTACAAATTGTGTGCACCTACTTTTTTCTTTATATTACTGTTTTTTTTTTTTTATATTGAATAATTTTATGATATAATAAACCTTTTATACTCAGTGAACGTGGAATGAGTCTTAGATTTTTTAAATTTACTTACAAGTTACAACTGAACAAAATGTACAATACAACATGTTTTGTAAAGTAATAGTTAGTATTTCTATACAATCTGTTGTTTTTGCTTGCAAATAATAAATAGGTACCTACTAATAATAATTAAACATTTTGAATCTTGATATTGAATAAACTCACCAAAGTATCAACTACCTATATATTTTAAATAGTAAGTAAATAGGAAGTAGGAACCTGTTACCATTTTTTTTTATTGATATATTTATACCTATTTATAGCTCAAAAAAGTAAAAAAATTTTTATAATTTATAAAAAATGGTGATATAAACATATTATGTTGAAAAGGAGTACTTGACTTGTTCCGGGAGACAATATGGATCATTTGCGAATTATCTTTAAACTACATTTTGCTTAGAAATGTCTAATATAGAAAAATTGCAAATCCAAAACGTACTATTGCCAAAATTAAGAAAATCGTGTTTGAGCATCAGGATCAGAATAAGTAGGTATACATAGATTCTTATTGAAAAAACATCGATAAATCGATTGGCCTCGTCAGAAAAAATCAAAAAGTAGGTTGAACAAATCTATAAATTTATATTTGACAAAAGTTTTGAAACATAATTAGATATCCGGAGAATGGAAAGTTGGTGCATCACCACAACGAACTTCCAATAAATCAATTTTGAGAATATTTACAATTATTATTCAAATACCTAAACAATTTTATTGACATTCTGACTTTAGACAGACTCAGTGTTGGGGAGTAACTTAACTTAAGTTACAAGTTACTGTAACGAAATTACTTTTTAAGTAATTTGATGGTAATTTAATTACATTTTATTGTAAGTAACTTATATGTAATTTAAGTTACTTTTTTGCAATAATTTTTATTAAATTACCTACTCGCTACTTTTTTTTTGGATTATTAAATTTTTTAGAACATATTGATAATATTGTGTGTAGGTAAATATTAAAATATATCATAATATAACTTATAAGTATTTTAATTTATAGGTAAAATTGTCTAAACTGTAATATTTTTGTTATAGCTATTGGCTATTCGACTATAAAGTGTTACTTTTAGAATGGAATTCTTATCTTTACTCTGTGTTGTATCGTCGCGGAAGGCTCATACAGCATTGTTGGAACTATCAATAAATTCGCCGGTTCGAATCTCGGTGACGGGCTGAACTTATCTCTGGCAGACACTTGTCTGGAGAGAGAGGCCGCCATCCCTCGACCGGGCATGGGACCTACGGGTGCCCAATTTGAAATTCTGCCAAGCTTAAACACACGTGTTTACAAAAACCTACAGTATCCTCCCCCACGGTTAAAAACCACCCAATTTTCTACGTTGCTGAGGGTTAGTTAAAAAAAAAAAAAATTAATTAATAAATAAATGTGTGACTTGGCAATACGACTGATAGTAACTTACGCCCGCTGCTACTAGTTCCTGGATGGGTGACCGCCCGGATTCGTAGTAGTAAAAAACTAACACGTGTTTGCATAGATACCGTAACAACCGTAAAAACCGTAACAACACCTTACCATACCAACCTTACCAAACACAGTTCATAATCCCCTACAACAGCTAATGGCCATAGTTGCCGGGCTTAAATTCAATAAAAAAAAAATAATAATAATAGTGTTGCAAGAAAAGTATCATCCGTTAATAATTTCATATTTTTGATTGTCATTATCTATTTAGTTTATGTACCTATTCTTATATTGACAACATGATGATTATTAAGCTCCAGCGATATTTTTGAAAAAAGTAACTTCTATTGTAATTCAGTTACTTTTTAAACTCAAAAGTAATGTAACTTAACCAAATTAAAAAAAAGTAACTTAAAAATAATTTAGTGACAATTTTGATAAGTAATTAGTAATGTAATTTAATTACCAAAAATAAGTAACTTCCCCAACACTCTTTAGTATATAGTTATAAGTTTATAAAATATAACAGTAACCAGAAAGTTTGCAGGGGGGCTAACAGGCTGAAGCCCCCCCCCCATTGCCCGTATTATTATTACTTTAAAAACAAATTTATCAAGTTTCAAAGTTTCAATTGTCTTAAATGCTTATAAAAAATAACCATGGTGCCTATGTATCGTTAATATTTTAGCTGAAATAAAAACTTACGAATTACATTTATACTAGGTTTTTGACCGAATAAATATTTTTTCATTGAAATTTATAGACATTTTAATTAATCAAATACAACCCAAGTGAGGACGATATAACCAAGCTGTTTACCGAACAATTTTAATACATTTCATTTTTTTTTCTCCAATTATTTTAAAAAGCACTGAGCATTTTCAATTTCGACCTCCTAAAAGTACCAACTAGATCCAATTTACTTCCAAAAACATACATCGGCCATCGAAGCTTATGATCAGAGCATATTTTCTACCAGATAAAAGTTGAAAAGTTACAAACATTTTAAAATATCTCATATAAACGTCTGAAATCATCACAAATAATGCAGTTTAGATCGATTTTTGGGAATTTTTTTCGGGAACCTAATAACCTATATATGTATATTTCAATGAGTTAAGCACAATGATGCAATCAGAATTTGTCTACTAGACTTAGTTCCAAGGTTATGAACTTTTAAAGATTGTAATTTTGAGTGTTCTACGTCTACGCAGGTTATTTCACGAACCTACTAGAAAAAGTACACTTTAAAACTTTATTAAAAAGTATGTAAGTAACCCCCTCGCATTCATAATCGTGGCTACGCCACTGATTATAATAGGGATTTAATAAAATATATTTAGGCTGGCAGACCGTCTAATCTCAGAATAGTCTTTCTAGGTAGGTACCTATGTACAGTTGGTAAATTAGCCATAAAATACATTGAATACGTGTACGCGATTTACAGTTGACAAGTAAAATGTTCTGCACAGAATAATATGACTGTAACTTGGTCAATTACGTAGTAAGTATTACGATAAAATTGAATCCTAAGAATTACTCAACTCTACCCAAGTATTGCACAGCGACAATTATTGTATACCCAGTTCGTGGTTTATAAGTAATAAATTTGTTATACGTAAATGCTGGGGATTTAGATTAATTTAGGTTGATATCTACTTCACGTTGAAACGTCTTTCTTTGTACCAGGCAGCAATTTCGAGAATTATTATTTATATTACTTCTCTACAGTCTACATAGACTAGGGTTTTTGGGAGTGCAGAATCAATAAAATATTTTTCATAGTTTTCCGATTTTCGAGTTTCCAAACATTTTGGAATATTCTCGAAACCAAGCAAATGTATACTTTCTCCGTATACTCGGCCTTTCGAAGAAATTAACTTTGCTTATATAAATATTCTGAGGTACCTATAGAACCATTAGCCCCTTCTACTTTTAAGAATTTATCATTGTCATTCCAAATTATTACGTGATAATTTATAGGGGTGGACCGAGGAGGGGATAACACTTTTCTATAGAAGCCACCAGTCGTATGTTATACAGTCTTAATGAAATTAGAGTCAACTCAGTTGTAACTTTGTAAGTAAACAGTAAAGTGTCTTTTGGTTTGATTTTTACTTTTTGATTTTGTTTGATTTTTTCAAGATTTACCAGTATGGCAGGTAAGTCAAAATAATTATTTAAACATTTTTGGACTTGATCAGTGGTAACAAAGTATTAAAATTAAGTTTCAAATATCTTCAATGCTTAGTTTAATTATTAAGAGCTAATAAAAATAATTTTTCATTGATGATTATATTTCTATATTTAAATGTATATAATATAAATATGTTAACTTTCTCAATTACAATTCAAAGTTTTAGTGACAAAAAATAAAATTATTTGTAAATTTAAAACAAATGTTAAACTAGTATTTGCTTAATAATTTTTAATATAAAAATGTATGTACATTTTATTAATATTACATTTTATATATTCATCAGATGAACATGGTGAAAGATTCAGGTCAAGATCTCGGTCACCTCATAGAATGGTCGATATTCTTCTTGGCAATGAAGGAGCTCCATCGAGGAGAGTACCAGGGCTCAGAGGTCACTTGGTATATGCCGATGATGTTGGATACACATATGTGCAAAATCATCAATCCACTAATAAACGGTTAGTATTGAATACTTATAAAAATATAATGTATTAATATTGAGTACACTGGTTGATAGACCTTAATATGATTAATATACCTTAAAAAATAACCTTATAGACAGCTTCGATGTTCGCGTTACGAACGGGGATGTACTGCTACTGCATCAATGTTGATATTCCCAGAAAATAGTACCATTGTAATGTATCAACCGCACAATCATCATGTAGGGCATGATATTGAGATTGGGGCATTCTACGATGCAATGAGACAGCGTGCTTTAACGGAGGGGACACCTGCACGGACAATTTTAGAAGAAGAAGCGAGGAGGTAAACAAATCCACAAAATTATTTAAATACTTCATTTAGAGTTATGTCAAAATGTACTAATACCTGAATAACAATTTTTTAGATTTCCAAATGCAGCTATAGAGGTGTCTCGTGAGCAAGCACTACGGGCAATGCGCTATGTGCGACGAAGTGTGAATCCACCAACACCAGATAATCTCAGGGCCATGGGAGAGATTATTGTGTCACCAACATGGCAAAGTCTTCTACTTTATTCTGTAGACGATAATGCACCATTCTTCCATGGAAACTTGGAATTCATAGTCAATGAAGAATTGATTTTTGGAGGGTTGATTTTTTTAAATTTGGCATTTTTACGACGCATTGCTCCATACCTACGTGAAGCAAGAGTCTTGGCAATTGATGGCACATTTGGTGTCATTCCGCGAGTTCCTGCTGATGCCGAGCAGTTGATCACAATCCACGCTGTCTTGGACAATGTCGTAAGAGATATAGATGTTAACATTAGATAATCAATTTACTTACATATTTGGTTTATTTAAATTTTATTTTCTTCAATTTACATTTGTAATTTAAGTCAGTTCCTGTGGTATATGCATTATTAAATCGTAGAACAGAAAACGTCTACATAGGACTGTGGCAATATGTGCGAAATAATTTACCAGAAGATATTTTTGACTGGCAAAATGTAAGTATTGTATCAGACTTTGAAACAGCCATGCGCAATGCAATACGAATAGTGATTCCAGAATGCCAATTGATCGGGTGCTGGTTCCATTTTTGCCAGGTAATAAACAAATTGCGTGCATTAATGTTTTTACTATTGTATAGTATTTTTGTGGACTCTTTAATCTAGATATGAAACAGATGTATGAATAACAATTTTTATGAGTTTCAAGTTAAATTTTCCTAAAACATAATATAAATTAATAATTATTTATATTGAAAATAATAATAATACAATAAAATAATACAATTTTTATATTAAAAAAATGTAACTACTAGTTTCTACATTTGGTCATCACTCATCAGGTTACATACTTACACGTCTTTATAATAACAAATTATCATAATAAGTTATATTGAACTATATTTCTCAACTTGAACAGAGTATACTTAGTACAACTTATGTATACGTCATAATATATTATATCATGTAAAATACAATATTTAAAAGAAATTAGGTACTTTAAAAAAACTATTAACTAAAAAAAAGTTTTCGAGTTCACTGATATTTTTAATGTATTTCAGCATTTGTGATTTACTTTAGTCAATAAAGAAATTATATTATCAAATGCACTATTTTCAGAGCATTTTACGTTTTGTGCAGACCCATGGCATGGTGACATTATTCCGTGAAAACCATCATGCTGCCACAATACTGAAAATGGTAATAACAAATAACAATTAGTGGATCTAGTGATATGAGAAATTCTTACATTTATATTAACATTTTTTTTTATATATTTATAGATTATGTCTTTACCACACTTGCCACCACAACAGATGCCAGAATTTCCAGATGACTTCCACATTCTTGGGGGTTTTCTGGCAATCACAAGATTGGCAACACATATGGGCATACTGAACCGTATTGTTCAGTTAGTGGACTATGTCAGACAATACTGGTTGACAACAGTACGTCCATCCGGGTTTTCCGTTTATGGTGTAAACATCCGTACCAATAATTTTGTAGAAAGTTTCCACAGCATGCTTAAGTCCACCGTAGGCATACATCCCCCAGTCTGGTCTTTTTACGGTAATTGATTTTTAATAAAAATATATAGTTGACAATAGCTGGAATTTTGATTGGTTTTCATAATTTTTTGCAGATCGATTACGATCGGTTGAAAGTAGAGTACGGAGGGAAACGTTACAAACAATCAATGGCCAGCAAGTGAGACAATTAACTATATATGGCTTACGTTTTTGAAATTAATTTTAATTTTTATAAATCAAACTTTAAAGGTACGAAGATCTATTGTGTCTAGCAGAGATACAAATAACTGTATTTTGGCTGATGCTCTACGAAACATACGCTATGGCCGCTATGACACAATGGCATATTTAAGAAGAATATCTTATTCGGTGAGAGGGTATATAGATATGCAAATAGGCCCTTTAGCTAATGGTAGGTACCATATAAATTCAATTGGGTGTATAAACTAAATGACAATGAAATGGAATTATAGAAATCCTTCTCGAAGATTTCATTCCTGGACAGCTACCAATGGTTGGACTTCAGCCTCTGCCACCAGTATTGCCGCCATTCCACATTCGTGGAGCTGGTAGACCAAGGAGGGGTCGTGGTCGTCAACGGGCAGCAGCAGTTCCAGAAAATCGTGGAATGGTCCGGCATCCAAATGTGCGCCAACAACCAGGTGGTGGTAACATTGGATCAATTGAAGATCTCCATGTTCTCGGTAATATACAACTATATATTTAAGTTGAAAATACATTAAATACTCTAGTTACTATACTTTAAATATAAATATCATAGGGAATACAGACAATATTGAGGTGCCAATCCAGATTCAAGTTAAGCATTTAGAAATAAAATATGATAAAAAATATATTGTCTTAACGAAATATGACTCTTTTGTTTGTTTGATTAGCAAATAATAAAGACCGAAATGAGCCCCTTGATCTGCCAGAAAACGAAAGTATGCCTTAGAGTATTTCTATAAATAAAATGTTGGAGTGTCACCCTTGGGCGGTTCTCCACCCAAGTACTAATGTTTTGTAATTTATTCTTCTACGCCCATATGCTTATTGTAACTGTATTACAGATTGTATATTCGACGCCCAAGTTCAAAACTGCAACAACTCAAAAAATATGTTTGTTAGGAATAATGTGTTTTCTAAATTGTTTCCCTATGTAACATATGTAATTTAAAATATTGAAAACTCTCTCGTGGTCAATAATTTTACTATATTTTATTGCGTTATATTCCTAAAATCGTTATAAAATGGTCTATAAGATGATGTACATAACTCGGATCTGATATATTTCGATTTATTGCAGTTTTGAACTAGGGCGACGTATTAAACTAACAAATTTAAAAATAATAAATAAAATAAATTATTTATGAATAAATATTCACTTATTCTACAATTTAATTTGTATTGAAGTTGAGCAGCCAGATATAGATGATACGTTAGCGGAGGAAGAGGTCTATGAAATAGTTGAGCTTGGCATAGATGATGCTTTTGTTGACGGTAGATTGATTTTAAATGTTATTAAACTGAAACATTAGCTTAATAACTTTCCATTTTGTTTCAGAACAAAATACCCAACCAGCTCACCAGGCAGTTGATTTAGATATCCCTACATTTGAAGGTAAGTTATTATTATTATTATTATAATTTTTCTTTAAGAGGACGTTACACTGACATATTTGTTATCTCCGTCTTAGAAGTGCGTAACATACCTAATTTTACTCTCAGAAAATCATGTTTAGCTATACTAGTTCAAAAATTAGAGTGAATTTACCTCATAAAATGTAAAGGTAAGATTATTTTTTAGAGTATCTCATAGGCTTTTTATTATATTTTAATTTTAAAGCGAGTTATAAAAATGTATTTTTTATAATATTAATATTTATTTTTAATTTTAAAATTGTAAATTTTATGTTACATATTAAAATACTCATAACTCCCTTTAAAGTTAAAATATAATACAAAGCCTACAAGATGCCATATAATAAACTTAGCTTTAAATTTTAGAAGAGGGCAATTTAATCTAATTTTTAAATTAACGGAGCTATACGTGTTCTACCGAGCTTACAAATTGCTATGACACACACTTGTAAGGAGGAGACAACAAATGTGCTTGTAACGTCCTAATAAACAGAATTTAAAAATAAAAACTCACTTATACTTTTTATTCTAAAGGTGACCCTGTAGACAGATGTTTTATTTGCCTTGAAAGTTGGAGCCAAGTAAATTCGGCCAACATTTTGGTGCCTTGCGGTCACGGATGGTGCTGTGATGAGTGTGCGATTCAATTAGATAAATGCGGAGTTTGCAAAGTAGAATTTCCCACAACACAGCCCATCCATATAATGCATGTTAACCTAGGAGATGGTAAATATTAATAATGATACAGTAAATTGAAGATTTTTTCTTTTATAATTAAAATATACAATTTTTATTAAAAGGTAAATGGATGCGAAATACTTCCTTACTCGATCTAACTGGAAGTCAGTGCCTTGGAAATATGCGCCATGAACAATATGTACCAGACCAGGCGCAATACATACTGTTGGACTGTGGCCATGGATGGTATTGTGCGAGCTGCATCTCAACACCTCCTGCCGCATGTGATGTCTGTGGTGATATGGTCGATGGTACCATAAGAATATTTTTAAATTGAAAAAATATTTATCATTTTTTTGTTACTCATTAATATATATACAGGGTGATTTTTTTATCGAAGAACACTCATTATTTCAAAAAGTATTAATGTTTAAGAAAATATTTTTTACATAGTTTCAAGTTGTTAAAAAACAATATTTTTATTAAAAAATTATATTTTTAAATATTTTTTATCCTTTTAATTTTTTAAGTTTTTTACTTTTTTGAATGACAACATCTAATTTTAATTTGATATTCAAAAACAGAATATTTTTCTGAGTATTTCGATACATAAAAATTGAATTTAGGGCAATTAGTTTATGAGTTATAAGTATTTAAAGTTTAGATGAGCGGAGTAGAGTGGTACGGGGTTACCCCGCGAAATGTTTGTCCTCTACTCCGCTCATCTAAACTTTAAATACTTATAACTCATAAACTACTTGCCCTAAATTCAATTTTTATGTATTAAAATAATCAGAAAAATATTCTGTTTTTGAATATCAAATTAAAATTAGATGTTGTCATTCAAAAAAGTAAAAAACTTAAAAAATTAAAAGGATAAAAAATATTTAAAAATATAATTTTTTAATAAAAATATTGTTTTTTAACAACTTGAAACTATGTAAAAAAATATTTTCTTAAACATTAATACTTTTTGAAATAATGAGTGTTCTTCGATAAAAAAATCACCCTGTATATATTTTTTTTATATATTACAATACTTTTTTTTATATCTATTTGTTTTGTTTATTTACTTAAATAATTTTTTGCTTATATCATTTTTATATTTTCTTATTAATTATTATTCTGGAGATATTCTACCAAACCTCTATCAATAGCAGATAATATGTTTTAATTGTTACAATAAACATATTCCAAAAGATAAGATCACCACATAATATTAATTTATCTACCTATCATAGAGATTGGCTCAAACGACTGTAAGACAAAATATTTAAATTTCTTGTTTTGATGTTGAAAATTGTTAACAAAACTCATATAATTAATTTTACTCATATAATCAGGCACAATTTCAACTTTTGACTAGGGGGGGGGGGGGGGGGGCTGAATATATTAAAGGCATGCAGGCCATTGCAAAATAGCATATTAAAATTGTATGTCCTAGGTTTTGGGGAGGGGGCTACCAATTTGCGCCTATGCATATAATATCTACTTATACCAATTTAAATTTAGATATAAATCATCTATTATATTTATAAGCTCTTTATTTGTCAAAATATGGCAAAAATGGTAATTTATATACAAAAATAAAAAAACAAGTTAGTATTTCAAAATCAATATCTCTTGAAAATGTCATCTATAATGTATCATTGATATAATTGAATTCAAAACATAGTACATCCTGTTTTTGAGGTAATATCTAAAATATCTTCAAAAAATAAAATGCCAGTTTACCAATTTAGGTGTAGACAGCTTTTATTCAAATCACAATTAATATGTGTTATGGGTTCCATATAAATGGATATAAAATTGTATATAACTCTTCAACCACAGACAGAGTGGACTTAGATTAATGTGAAAAGAATAATTAAATTACACAAAACAAATTTACTAAAACTTTTTTTATAGAAACTGGAGTCAACAAATTATATTAATAACAAATAGCTTAATGAATTTCAAATTATAAGATGTGATTGGGATCAAAGAATATCTGATATATATTAAAAGTTTTGTGGGTCCAGCGGCAATTGTTTGTTTCAAATTATTTTTTCTAATACAAGATGGAAGACCTTTAAATGATTATAAAAAGTGTATCCTAAGAAAATATTATAATTATTACCTTGTCACATTGAAGAAAAAAAATGACACTGAGATTGTCTAATAGTCAAAACAAATATTTAATATATTAAAATATAAAATTTCTAATTTATCCATGGTCTAAATTAAGATAATATTAGATGTCAAATATAAATTTTAATATCATACTATAGCTGTGACACCGTGTAGTGTGCTTCTGTTTTTCATTTACAGATTCTGAAGTTCTGAACTCTGAGAAGATCTACTTTACACCGTGGAGCGTGGATTATAAGTACTTTAATAAAATCTTTACATTGACACATTGTTAGGGACTTAGGGTTAGGTTACATAACTTATAAATTATATTATTAATATTATTTATCATGGTTTTTACTTATCAATTATCATGTAGACATGCTGTTATCTCTATTGGTAAAATCCAAATATGTCGGAGTAATATAATATAATATCGTAGTAATATATGTTCGAAGTAATTGATATCGGAGCAGTATTATGGTTGACAATAAAAATTTTTATTCGGAGTAATACAAGTTCATAGTAGTATAAAGTTGTAGCACTGGTGTTATCCCCATTAACTCTGGTACCATAATATATAATTGTTAAAACAAAATTAATCAAAATATACTTGTACAGAAACTAGATAGTATTTAATTTAATAAATACAGAAATTCATATTTATCAAATTTAAAAAAAAAATCATTAGGTACTTAGGTAAAGGAATACAAATAACAATTTGTAAAATAAAAATTATATAAAAATTAACTGTTTAGTGTTCTAGTCGAGTTATAAAAATAAATTTTTTAAATTAAATCACATTACATATACTTAAACATTAATATATTTGAACCATTGTCTTAATTCAATGCTTGATTTAAAATTCAACTTCTTTTGCAATTTTCTTTTTCTTTTGAGAGTCTAATATCTGTCTTTTTAGTCTGTCCAAAAATAAAATGAAATAATAAAACAGTAAAACCAATAATAAATTTTTCACTGCCTTACCCGGAAGAAAAGAAACGATTAAATGAGCCAGATGATCGAGGTTGATTTTTGATTGGAGTGCTGTATAACGGTTCATCAGAAGCAATGCTTTTAGTTTTCAAACAACCAAGCCAAAAATCATAAGGCAGCATGAGCAGTTCTCTTATTACCTAAATGAAATAATATCCATCATAATTTATACCAATATTATAAAGCTGAAGAGTTTGTTTGTTTGAACACGCTAATATCAGGAACTACTTGTTCGAATTGAAAAATGATTTTTGAGTTGGATAGACTATTTATCGATGAAGACTAAATAACATCACGCTACGACCATTAGGAGCCCAGGGAGGTGCTCAAACAGGGATTTCGAGATTTACAATGAAAATTTTTATTTATAAATGGTTACTATTAGATCAAGTATAAGCAGCAAATCAAATTTGCACAATTTGGCACTCATTGCTGATGTCCACGATCTGACATACTCGAATTGCCTACCAGGGTGGCTAAGTTGCACTTACTGCAGCAAGTTACACCCAAAAAGAGTCGAACAATCAGTTTTTTTAAAAGTTGTCATTTTGTACGGGCCGGGATCAGCTATATACTATAATATTTGATTTACTTACAATTATTTCTTAATATTTAAAATTAAAAGCATTAGTTAAATACTTGGTCAATTACTTCAAAAACAATTTCAAATTGAGTATGTAATTCATCTAAGGAAGTACTTGTAACACCAACAATTGTAGGTCCAAAAACAATTGCTAGACATTTGTAATCCATATTGCATTTTGATGAAATAGCAACCCTAAAAAAAGGTGAAATTAGTATATTTTTTGAAAAATAAGCATTTATAATTAATTAAAAGAATATACTTTTGCAAATGAATAATGAGAAACGAAAGTATGTTACGATTAGTATGTGGCAATTCAGATACAACTTGACAAAGTGACTTTGAAACATCATTTTTATTTTTTAATACATCAGCAAACTTTGATAAATCACTTGGAGATATAAGATTATTTTCTTGCATACGAATCAAGTCTTTCAGATAACTGCATAATACATGAATGTCTATATCGTTTAAATTCGGTAAGCCTTTTTGAAATTTGGCTCTTAAACTTTTCACTTCTTTATCAGAACCAGACACCCTGTATAATCCAATGGTATCCAATCCTCTTCTTTCGATTTCACTAATGCAGTGAATAATGAAAGGTGGGACACCACACTGCCGGTAAAAATTATTTATTGTAATAAAGAAAATAATATAAGAATACAAAATTACTGACATTTAAAGCATGGATTTTTAGTTCATCAATTGTACATAAACTTGGTATAAAATCTTTACATTCCAGATGAGTTATTATTTTACAGTCCAGACATTTAACCATATAATTTTTAAAATTGATTCTGAAAACAATTTTTTAGTTATAGTATTAAATAAAAATCAATTATTGATTACTGATTAATTATGAAAGTAGAAGATTTTTTGAACAAACTTTTTTGACAGTGGCTACATATTTCTGGAATGACAATAATTTTTTGAATAAAATTATGTTTTTTTTCAGTTATATTATTTTCTGTTTCAGAATCGCTGGTGGACAATAGCTCAATAGAATCTACAGATAAACAGACAATTATTCATCTTTATTATATACCGTTTAAAAAAATAAATTGAATGTTTACCACTCGATGACGATATTAATGCAACTTCTGACGTTTGTGTTGGATACGTTTCTATAACAGATTTAGCATTTACGCTACCCAAGTCCATGGTTAAAATAGTTGTAGCAATAATTTGTTCGTTAGTAGTATCCACGTTTTGAATCTAAAATAATGAAATAATATAAAATCTATAATTATAATATAAATATAATTTTTCAATAAAAGAAAAAACATGATAATAAACGTTTAATAGTTGAAACTATATATGTTGCCAACCAAATAAAAATTGTTAATTAAATGCAAATAAAATTAATTTACAACAAGGTTTTTACTGTTAAGAGAAATACCCATCAAAAAATGCCACAATATAGATGATTAGAAATTTTTAATTACCGAACATTTTTTTGTGTTCAAGTTATTGAAAACATAGCTTGCAGAATGCTTTTTTATGAGTGCAGAATTTTGTTTGGGATTTTCCAATAATTGTTCATATGAACTATCTTCAGAACTACTATAACTAATATCTGATAACCAAGTACCTAAAAAAATAAACATGTTGTAATTAATTATATTATCAAATCAACCATAATATGCTATATTATATTTATTAGTATTTTTAATAGGCATAGTCATAGACTTTATGTAGAGAGGACACTACACCCGTATTACTTGTCTCCGTCTTACTAACTCAAACATATCAAATTATACGTTCTTAATAATCTATTCAACTCTGTTCTATTTAATATGACTATGAGTGAATTATAAAATTTAAAGGTAAGAAAATTATCTAGTAAATCTAGTTTTTTTTATATATTTTATTTTAAATGAGTTATGATCATTTAAAAAAATTGTAAATTATATGTACATTTTAAAATGTATTCTAAATATCTATATTTGTTAATAGGTAAATCCACTCTAATATTAAACATAACAGAGTTAAATGGATTATTCAGAAAGTACAATGTGCTATAATATGTGTTTGTACGACGGCAACAACACATACAGGACCGAGCGGGTCATGTCTTCAAATGTCATGTGTTCGAAGGTCATGTTTTCGAATGACAATTGTTAGAAAAGATATTTGTTCGAATAGTAATGTAATCGAAAAATTATTTGTTCGATAAGTTGTATGTACGAAATATTATTTTATTTTTAAACGAAAAGTTTATCGACGAACCCGATTAATATCGTTGAATAAAAGTAATAAAGATAATAGATAGTAGATACTAGATAACATTGCTTATAGCTTATTAGTAATGACTATTGTGGTGTGGTCTAGTATAAAACAAAACGCGATTGTAGTCTGTACTGAAGCTTAGTTTGTTGCGAATTTAATACGTTTTATGTAATTTGTCTTTTTATTTGAATAAAATGTGTTCTATAGAAGTTATAAAAAGTATACACGGAAGTAAAGTATTAAGTGTAAATAATTTTTTATACATATTAAATAAAAATTATAAAAGAAAACGCGATGACCGAAACGTTTTTTACTGGACATGTTCAACTAAATGTGGAGCAAATATTTGTTCTGTTGAAACATCGAACGGAGACTTTTATTTATTAGGAGTTTTTAAAAGCAATTGCATATAATTTAAGTTTTTAATTATTGATTTATAACTGCATAGGTATATTTTTCCAAATATTTTTTTTTAGTTTTATGTTTATTAATTTTTATAATATTATATAGCTTTTTAATTTAAATAAATAATTTTCGTACATACAACTTTTCGAACATATATTTTTCGATTACATTACTATTCGAACAAATAACTTTTCTAACACTCGTCATTCGAAAACATGACCTTCGAACACATGACATTCGAAGACATGTACCCCACCCATACAGGAGTAGCGTGCTATTAACAATTAATGTAATTCAATAATTAAAAAAATGTTCAATTTATAATACAAGTTTATTAATTAGTGAATTGTTTTTAATTTCAAATACTACCATAAAGGTACATCCATAACAGTAACTTGTTTTTTCAAAATTAACTACTACATATATACTAATTTACCAATATTATTTGAAGTCTCTTTTTCATCCAACTGTACACAATCAGAATGATTTATGAGTGAATTATGTGATTTTTCTACAATATCTTGTTTCTTACGAATACTGTATAATTGTTCTAATTGAGATTTCTAAAAAAAAAAAATGATATCAAGATACATCAAATTTGTGTAACGGTAAAAATTATATTTATTTACAAAAACTACCACTCTACTTTCTTGTGCTGGCTACATGCAAAAATAATATAGGCTGCCATATAAAAAGCTTATGTATTACTTACCATGGTTTCTTTTTCAAATACAAGTTTTTCTCTTTCTACTTGAACTTCATCTAATAAACGGTCAGAAGTTATAAGTTTATAATTCAATTTAGAACATGCATCCTGAACTTCTTCTAGGTTTCTCTTGATAATATCTTTATCAGCATCGCTTTGATTGATTCTGTATGTTAATTGATCGATGGCTTTTAATTGTAGTATGTAATCTATAAAAATAATTCATCTATAATTTCAAATATTATAACCATTGTAGGTACTGATAATTAGCTTGTAGATCTATATTCACCTTGTAAATTTGCCTGTTTGGCATAAATTACAAAAATAAATGAAAAATATAAAACTAATATAAATAATGAATGTTTATATTCATCTTACTTAATTTTTAAAGATCAAAGTAAAATATTTATTTCAAAATTTAAGATATTTTCTGAAATATATTATATGTATTATAGTGACAGGTATTTATACTTTTATTAATAATTATTTTAAACTCATTAACTGAAGGTTAGTTGTGAAGTATATAAAAGTTAGAATTTAAAAAGAAATTCATAAAGTTTCAAATAGCATCTTAAATATTATAAATAAAACAGATTTTGAATGACACTTTTAGGAGGTAACTTTATTCTCTAGTTTTTTATAAAGATTTTAGATGTTCATTAGCTAAAGTATAGCTACAATTTGGTTTGCTAGAGTAGTTATTATGTATGAGTGCAGTGCTTTAGAATTCCACAAATATTAAAATTAAAATCATCAAAGTTCTATAAATATATCATTAGGTACCTACTTTCTGAATTAGATACAATAAAATATTCAAAAAAGATTTTAAGACAAGATCCACGAAAAGGATATATTCATACATTAAGTCACGATTAACGAGATACGGGGTAAATTAAATATAGGTACACCAATGATACAGTTTTGAAATTTTCTGGAACATCCATAATTGTATTGTTTTATTCTCATAATTAAAGCCAATAGTTTATAACTAGGTAGTTCTAAGAAAGTTATGGGACACCAGCATAAAAATATTCTTTCCTATGTAACTAAAATTGTACGGGATTGCTTCTAAACATAAAAATAGGTATATTATAAAAGGCACACGTTATATAGTAAGATTGGGGTTGTCCTAAGGCAGATGTGAGCGGGGCAAACACCCTAGTGTCCTAAGTGTTTTTTTAAATACAACAATTTACATATTACATTAAAATAAAACAGTTTGTAATAATTTTATACACCGATGTATGATTGTTATTGGTTCCAAATCATTTTATGTGTTTATTAATGTAGAAGGTAGATATTATATAATATATTACAAGTTTACATTTTTATTTGACAATATTTATTATTAATTAAATGAAATAAAGTATGAATTACTTGTACAGTATACAGTATGGTAATTAAAGTGAATAGTACTATATAATGTAATAAACATTTGAAGAAACGGGAGGAACAACAAGACATCTCTAATTATTACAATTGTTTGAGTTCGTATAAGTAGTATTCAGAGAAAAATTGTCAAAATCAAATTTGTATGTTCTCAAAACCAAAAAATAAAATTTGATGATGCTTCATTATTTATACTACCTATATTATTCATAAAAAGGTATATACATACTTGTAATTAATTAAATATGTTTAGTGTAACAACAAGTCATCTCAGTTTATAATATTATGATATATCTGTATTTAACAACCCAATGTTTTTGGTTTTTGCACCAAGCATTTTTTTTTCTTAGGAATGTCCAATTATTATGAAAACTAATTTTAACCAAAATATGGAGATGTCTTGTTGTTGCTTCAAGGTCTTGAAATTATATACAGTAGTCACTCGATATTTCAAACCTCAATAATTCGAAAACTCGATAAACCGAACTAAACGCTGAGCCCCCGATAAAACCTCTATAATTAGAAGAAAATACAAGTATTCCGGTCTCCTCGAAAATTTGAAATGTCGATACGTGGGACATACTCTACAATTCAAATTTATTTCCGCAAACCTCTATAGTTGAAATTTCCTTAAATGCGATTATATATAAGTTCATATGTATGTACATATAAAGATTATTTACAATCTATTTGACGTACTCGTAATGAAACTAATAAAGACGGCGGTTAAATATTATCATATTATCATAGTTTATAAATGTTATCGTACCTTAACTACCTAATCTAAATGTATGTACCTATAGTAAATAAATGTAATGGACACACACAATGTTTCACCTCTCTTTAATTCGAATTAATTTTCTTTTCCCCCGATTATTCGAACACTCGGTAAATCAAAAACATCTATAAATCGAATTTTTAACTCGGTAACATGAATTTCGAATTATTGAGTGACTACCTACTGTATTATTGTTATCAGATCTTAAGATTGTTAGGTGAGGTCAGAGGTAGGTACTGGTAGAGGAAACAGTAACTAATAAAATAATTTATGCATGTTTAGGTACATTTTTAAAAGATTTATGCCACGGGCCACACGAATTGTAGGGACGGCCCTGAGGATTGCGAATTGTTTTCTGTTTGTCGAAGCATCAAAAATGGTCTTCAAATTCGTAATTTCTAATTAGATGGCAATTTGTACTTATCCGTATACAACTCACCTCTCTCGGTCGTCGTGTCCAAATACTTGAGGGCGCTGTTGAAGAACCTATCGTATTTGAAAGCCAGGGACTTGCAATGTTCCTCCATATTGTACAGTAATGTCTACGATATTGTGCGCCGTGCGGTTTCGGCACTGTGATCGTCGATCGAGAACGATCTATCGAAAATCGACATCTAACTCAGAAGCGTCGTCGGCACCAAACATTCTAATATTTACTATCAATTACTCGACCGCTATCAATACGGGAAAGCAAAATGTGTAACAAACGTCGACATAGATACTATCGACCTTTTACTTAATAATGTTAATATAGGGTGCGTTCGATGGGTTGCTGCAACTACTCGAGAATCATCTGCAACGATTTAATAACACTTCGAATTTATCACTAAGCATGGCTGTAGATACTATGGTTGCCCATCGGCCCATGTTAAATAATACCCACAGCCCACAGCCCACAGCCCACCGGCGTACAAGTTTCTCGCTGAATCATAATACCACCTAGCGCTACCTAGTGAATTACTATAGAAACAACATGATTTATAATTTTAGCGGGCTTTATATCTTTAATAATAACATGCAAAAATATTCCATACACTATATTATCATTATTATATACATCATACATATTTTAAGACCACACATATTTTGCTAAGATTAGACATCAGTCCATCGCACGGCTATTAGTACAGCATTCATATTTTTTATTTTATTTTTATATTTTGTAAAAATGTCTGATTTAGAAATATTTTAAATTCGGAATATTTTTACTACCCAATGATGACCGACAGAAATGAAAAAAATTATACACATCTTGTAAAATCAATACATTTGTTCGTTCCTCTCAAAATCTAAAAACAGTAATCACGACTCCATGCTATATTAAAAATGAAATAACATTGGTTTCGTTTCCAAATCAATAATAAAAAATTTATATATTTTAATAATTTTATGTCCTTAGATCTTTTGAGGCCTTTCGATATATTATGAGGCCCGAGGCCTGTGTGCGGTGCACACTTAGCACACCCGGTTTTTACGGCACTGCCTAGATCCGTATACCTACTATAGTATATTACTAATATTAAATAGCAAATATAATATAGGCCATCCAGTGCCCAGTGGCGTAATTACGGAGTTAGGATTCGGATATCGTATCTCCCTCCATGACTTTTTTTTGAAACTGGCGAACCAAAGTTAATAGTAGGTTCTTATTTAACTATAAATATTATTATTTATAGATACTAATATATAGGTAGTATATTTTATAAACAACATAAAAATCCGAATTCCCTGCTATGGTAGTTGTACCTACATATAATATAATTATAATATCTTCGTAATGATCACTAATCGGTAATAAATATTAATTTCAATTGCATATATCAAATAATATATTAAAATACAAGCATACCTATGCAGATTAGACCTCAGTCTATTTTTGTGAATTTTTTTTCGCATACCTGTAGGTATATGGGGTATATCGTATATATAAAGGTATTTCAATGAACAATGTTGCAATCAGAATTTGTTAATTTGGCAGTCAGACTTATAGTTTAAAAATAATAACTTTTTGAAAATTGCAATTTTCAGTATTTTACGCCTAAGCTGATTACTCTGTATTACACTTTAATTTAAGGCTTTATTAAATAGGTAGTAGGTACCAAATTATTTATTTTAATTTTTGCATGCATTAATATAGGTATGTACCTAATTAGATACATTATACAGATCATAATGGTTGGGTTAAGAAGTTTTTTTTGTTATAAATCAAACATTTTTCAAGTGGCGGGTGGTATTAAATGCTCAATTCACCCTCATAAAACCCGGGTTTATTTTTTATAAACCCTAAAGGCTAAAAACGTTATTCTTGGTTATTAAATATATTTTTCATTTAATATATTATACTCAGTTTTATACTTTTATTTGTTGTATTATTTTAAAATTATTTCACCTAATCAAAACCTGTATACTTATCCATTTTTCTTGTAACAATTTGTGAATGTTTAAATATGATATCGCATTGATGTATTTATGGGTTATTTCTAAGATGTTATTTTTCAACTACTTATTGAAGATGTTTACATGAAAGTCGTTTAACTATTGGCCTTAAGCGATCCCATAAAACAACTGGAAATTATCAATTTTAACCTGTCTAAAGTACCATTGTCCAACTAGAATACTAGATGCACTTTTCTTGAAGAAAAGATCATGATGTCGAATATCGGAGAATTTTTACTGTCCTAAATGTTGATGTCATACACGAGACACACATAGTTTTATTTTAATATTTTAGTATTTTTCACTTTATTATATTTTAAATGATAATATTATGTAGTTGTATAGTAGTTAAAAATTAAATGATAATACGAGAGTAAGAATATACACTTGTTGTATAAATGCACTGCGATCGAAGCGAGTTGGTATACAATTTTCGAGGCCTTTGCATTCGTTTCCCGGTAACAAAAAATCCGCCCCCCCCCCCCGGTCAGGGGACCACGGCGCTATACGGTTCGCAGTCGTGGGAAGAGCGAGTAGCTGAGGGCCCGAGAACGGACAGAACACGAAAACGTATATTATATATTAGCAACTTTATTAATATAAATATATAAATATAACGTACTGATAACTTTGTGAGTTGCCTTACGACACAGTTTACCGTTCAATCATAGGCGTGCGCAGTGGCGGCGCCAGGGGGGGGGGGGCAGGGCCCACCTTAAAAAGTCTCCAGCCCCCCCCCCTTTGGCCCGCCCCAAAAATTAAATTAAATCATATTAGAATACTAAACAATATCTCATGAATAAATCATGATTTATTAAAATATGAAAATATGAAGTCATAATAGATGGCGTGAACAACATTTTGAATGGGTTGAAAACTATGCATTATGCTTTCAAGCCTCATAAATAACGTGTATTTTCTAGCGGCTGAATAATATGAAAATAATAAGTTATACTTATTATTTATTATTAAATATTAATTGGTATTGAGTGTAATTATGGGTTAGGGAGTATAAAAATTAAAAAGTGTTTACATGAATATATATTTTGTTAGGAAATAAATACTATTAATACAATACATGTTTACAAATCATTGTTTTAGTAAGTTTACACGATGAAGTGTAAAAAAAAATTGGAAGTTGACCCTCTCCCTCACCCCTATGCACAATTCCCTGTCATCACTGTTGTTTATATATATATATATCAAGTCAACAATTTGGCCCTCCCTAAACAATTTGGGCCCCAGCCTGGCCCACCTGGTATTAAAGTTCTGGCTTTAAATTTTTGGTTAAGGGGACTAAAAATTAGGGCCCACAATAATTTTGAAAACAATTATACATACAGACAAATGATCTAAAGATATCAAATGCACTAAAAATATTTATTTTATTTTATTATTCGTTCTAATAAATATTACAAAACAATATATAGATATACAATCTTATAATGATAATCGACGTTTAAAAGGAACAACATTTTTGAATTCGTCAATAATTTAATTAATTTAATTTGCACTTAATTAATATTTAGGGCCCTTGTCGTTTTTGGTGAAGTGTCCGGGGGTGCCCGGGCAGTAGGCACCCCCTGCACCCCCCGTGCGCACGCCTATGCGTTCAATAATCTTTTACATAGTTTGAATAATAGAATAAAATATCTATAGATGGACATATAGTTAATAAATTTCGAATCGTTCCTATCGTCGCCCGGTCAACCGCAACAACGAATATTTTCAACATAGTCGTTATTTCAAATTATTCGTACCTATTCCTAATAAGAAACATTCCTTGATCATTTCATATTTGTACACCTATATCCATGGTATAAAAACATATAAAATCATTATATCATGCCTATATCCACATCAGCGTTGACGACACTTGACGAATAGGTATTGTTTTCAAGTATACCACGCCTAACCATCTAAACTCTAAAGGCATAGTGGCATAGTGCATAGTACCCACTTCGGGCCTCGTGCTTGTCGTGCCCTCAATATTTTCATTGATATCAATAATATCATCAATAGTTAATAATGTTATTTATGTACGGAGAGATCTTTTTCTACATTAACTAGAGTAAAAAATAACTATATAACTAGTCAAACCCAAGAAAACTTAGACATACAAATGACTTTATATTCTGAGAATGATTTGTTAAAATCATTAGCCTTAAATGAAGTAAGTATTAATAGAGTTTGCTTCAAGCAAACCAAGAAAAAAAATGTATTTGAAAAAATGGTTTTTGTTTTATATATTAACTTTTGTTTGATATTTGTTGTAAATGTCATACTGTTAATAAATTTAAAAGTTGTTATGAAAATTTGAATTTAAATTAAATAAATACTTTTTTAAATTTATTTAAAATCGATTTCATTATGATAATGATTACGATTTTGATATAAATTATCGATTTTAACATTTTTTAGTTTTAATATACATTTTGAAAATCATTAACAAGCCTTCACGATTTCGATATAACTTTTGATTTTTTAAAAGATTTTTAACGATTTTTATCGATATTTAAAATCGATTTCAAGCCCTGGCCCAGGCAGTAGGCACCCCCTGGCCCCTGCACCCCCCGTGCGCACGCCAAAAAGTGTAAAAATTTAATACAAGGCTCCTGACAGTGGCGCCGAACTATTTTTTTTTAGGTGTGGCAATGAACAATTACTTATATAGCCACCTCCCCCATTGGATATTGGCTATTAGAACTAAGTCGTGGGAGCAACCTCCGTCCCACCAATTTTTAATCTAAAAAATATTTTCACAAGTTATAATATTTACCGCATTATGTCTACAATATAGCATTATTTAATATTTTAACATATTACAGTTAAGATTATCTCCAGTAAAAGCCTCCTCAAAATGAAAATCAAGTTTTTATCATCTAAAAACGATATTCACAGTCACTGATTTAGTTATTTAAGCTTTTAGCTAGGTAGGTACATCATATCATTCAGTAATAAATAGAACTATTACATTTTTTTTCTTATATGTAAATATATATGTATATTATTTGGTTAATGGTTTGCATAATATTTTTTGAGTATAATGTACTATAGTAATACCTATATTAAATAAAAATATAAATAATTG